GTGTTAACTGTATTTTGATTTTGTTATAATTGAAGGAACCATTTGACAGCATTAGGGAAACCAGTGGTTATACCGACAATAATGAGAGCATATCGTCGACGTGTTCGTCGGCATCGGCGCCGACATCGCAAGAGGGGAGTCGACAACAACATCAACGACGGAAAATGAGACCAATGGAAGACGCGAACGACTCCGTCATTGTATGTTTGCTCACACTTTTGTTAATCTCAATAATAGTTATCCATTAGTTTAACGACTATTTGCTCGCAATTAGTTGGACGAAGAGGAGCACCCGTTGCTGTCGGCTAACATCTGCGCCGAGACTGGAGACAAACAGGCCATCTCTTTCCTCACCGCTCTTAAGATTCCGGTTAGCATTTGTGATGTGATGTTTGATTTAGTGAATCTAATTTTGTGCTCACATTACTCTCTATTTACTATGTTTAGGGAGTGATTGAGTTCTCGTTGTGTCTATTCTTCGCCAAACTGGTCAGTTATACGTTCCTCTATTGGTTACCCAAATATATTGGCCAATCAAGTAATGCAACGCTTATTTGTTTAATGTTTGCGGTGAAAGCTTTAATAAATGATTGTAATTAACAGCTGATTCGTCGTCGTCGGACTCGGCATACCTGTCCACTCCATTTGATTTGGGAGGTATTGTTGGCGCTGTTATGGCCGGCTATTTGGTCGATAAGACGGGTGCGAGTGCTCTCATCTGCACTGTTATGCTTGTATTCGCTGTTCCATCGGTAAAGCCATCGATTATTTAGTGATTTTATAATTGTTTTCTAATTTATGTTTGAATTGTATTTTTCAGTTATTTATGTATCAATTATACGGTAGTCTTTCGGAAGCATCCAATATTGTGCTACAATTAATTGCCGGCGCTTTCGTGAACGGGCCCTACGCTCTCATTACGACCGCAGTGTCCGCAGAGTTGGGTACAAAAGTGCCAAACAGTCACGCGTTGGCAACTGTCACAGCCATTATTGACGGCACCGGATCTATTGGTATGCATATTGATTATAAAATGTTATTTATAAGTTGTAATAGTAATACATGATTGTTGTATTGGCTGAACAGGTGCTGCAATTGGGCCCCTATTGGCTGGTCGTGTGTCTGAAACGGGTTGGAATAATGTGTTTTATATGGTTATGATCGCCGACGCGTTGGCCCTCTTGTCACTCATGAGGATATCAGTGCAGGAATGGCGGCGTATTGTCGATCGCAGAAGAATATCCCTCGACAACAGGGAATGTGTTTTATAGCAGTCATAAAAGTGGTTATTATTAAGTATTACTTAAGTAATAGATTTGTATATAGAATATAGTTATTATGAGAATTTTTATTTATATTTCAATTTTATTGCTTTTATTTAAAATACTAAACTATTTGTCCAAATGATGATAAATTTGTGAATATATTTTGCTTTATATTTTGTTTTGCTATAAAGTCTTCCCCTTTATATGGTATATATACTGTATTTTGCTATAAATGTTAATAATTGTAATCACAATATATTGTGTTTTTGATTTCAAGACCAAAAGCGAAATGACATTATATTTTTATATGATATTTAAATTTTATTTTGAAAACATAAACTATCGAAACAAATGTTGTGATGAAATAAAATTACTTTTAAAGTAACCCAAAATACAAATTGTTTGTAATATTTACATTATTGACACTAATTGTGTTATTCTGTAAAACAAATTTCTTGTAAAACAAGTGTAAATGTGTTGAAAACAAGTGGTAATTATGCTGTTTATGTGTTTATAATTTATTTTTATATTAAAAGTTAAAATAACTTTCAAAGTTTTTTGCATTTAATTTATTATTTTATTGAATAAAATAAATAATAGATTGTATCCAATATATCTTCCAATTACAATGCAATTTATTATATATCATTTGCACAATTAGTATGCTTTGTAATTGTTAGCAAAAGCTGCTCATTTCGGTATTAATTTCAATACTGATTAATGTAAATTACATTATGTAATGCACAACTGTAAACCAAAACTACTGAGCATAGTGGTTTATAAAAGTATAATTAACATAGTTAGTTGATGTCTACGGCCATATCACGCTGAAAGCACCGGTTCTCGTTCGATCACCGAAGTTAAGCAGCGTCGAGCCGGGTTAGTACTTGGGAGGGAGACCACCTGGGAATACCCGGTGTCGTAGACTTTTTTTGCTCCATGCTCGTTTTATTTTTACTTTTTTCCATATAGATTTATACAAGAATAGAGTTTATGCAATAAATTGTGATTATTTTTAATTGTGATCGCAATTAAACATAAATTGTAGTCAAGTAATACCCCTTTGATAATAGCTATCCATTCACTGCAATACATATTCTAAATAAACATTTGTATGGATGAGAGCATTGCTGTGAAGCGATTGCTAACACAAGTGGACGACATTTATGTAGAAAATTGAGTTCAAAACAAAACGAAATGCAAAACACATTTCAGTCATTGATTTAATGTCTGAATCGGAGACCACTTCCAGAGATTGAGTGAATCCAGTGTCCAATCCATGAGTGTCTCACCGATGAGTGCGGACAAGAGGTCGGTGGCAGTGGTGGCGGACAGTGGCGTCCATTCCTCGGCGGACACGGAGTCGACCGAAACGAAGAGACGTCGGAAACAGGTGTTAGACGAAGACGTTTACGTCCAATACGTGGAGGACATCATTGAACGCGACTTTTACCCCGATTTGCCACAAATGAGACAACAGTTGCGGCGATACGAGTCCGTCGATCGGCCGCTCGAAGCCCAGCGCTTCGCCGCCGACCGACCCATCGCTCGCACCGGCAGTCCATCCACTTTCGAGACACCACTTATCGGTAGTAATCGCACAACACATCCACACGAAGACAACGTTAGCGATAGTAGTGTCCGGAAGAATGAGCCGAACGACGACCGCGAAGACGAGGCCGACAACGAGTCGGTCGATAAGAATGTATCGTTGGATAAGTTTTTGAATCGATTCACGTCTGAAGACAACCAGTCTTTTGAGGAAATACAAGACGAGGAGAAGCGAAGACATCGGGAGAAGTACTCGTGGCTCTATCAGGACGAGTCCGCACACAACGCGTCGGTCGACAAACTGCTGGAATTGCCGTCCATTGAGCGCCAGGCCATCGAGTATAAGCCGTCGGGCGGATCAGTGGTGACCTGGCCTTTCAAGAACCAGAACTCAGTTATGTATAACCTGTCGGCTCTGCCGCTCACCGACGAGGAGAGGGCGAAGGCCGCGGCCAACTCCGGGCCATCTGTTGTCTACTCGAACACACGGTTTGCGCGAATGCCGTTCAATGAGAGAGTAAATCAGCGGACGATAGCAATGGCCGCTCAACTCAACCATCGGCTCAAAGAGGGCAAAATCGGGATCGACGGCAAAGAGTTGGTCTCCGGGAACACACCTCAAATCAATGGCCATAAATTCGTGGCCAGTACTCCCACACCGGCACCCGATTCTTACACAGAGTCCCCTCTCATGACTTGGGGTGAGATCGAGGGCACGCCATACAGTCTGTCGGGTTCGGAGACACCGTTGGCTCATCCGGCCCTCACTCCCGGCGCCTCACATTTCAAAATACCAGATTTGCCGCATCGGGAAAAGATCGGCCATTCGTTGGCCGCCAAAACATCTCAACAAAACAGGGATAAGAAGAAGTCGGCCGTCGATAGAGCCCACGCCTCCCTTCACCCGTCTTCGCCCGCTTTCTATACAACCAAAACCCCTATCGAGCGGCTCAACAGTATGTCACCCGCGGCGCAAAAGTTGGCCAAAAGTAAATTAGGAGTCCATCGCAACGCAGACCAGTCTCTGATGGCCAGCTATTCTCCGGCCAGTAGTGGCGTTCGGACGCCGGGACTAACGCCTCGAAGCGACTCCAGTCGCAGTTCCACACCATTTGACTCTCCATTGACTCCCAAATTGAGTTCAGGAGAGAAAGCGAACAAAAAGGACATCAATTCACGAATCAATGAATTCTCGACAAAACAGAACAGAAATAAAGCCAAAGATTTCTTTTAAATTTTTATTTACTTTTTATTAAATGGATAGAAAAACTATGTAATGACACGTATGGCTAATACTGTAACGTATATTGAATACAAATCATTGATTTTTTAATAATTTGTGAATCAAATTCTGTATGTATTGTAAACTTTTAAAACATTTGCCTTATCTTCCCTGTCATCCCAAATATCGTTAATAATATTCTGTAAAATATAGTATAAATTCAATATTTATTATTTTAATTAAATATAAAACTTTCTATTAATATTCAATGTGTGATATTCTTGACATAAGCATGATCATTTTTGACACATTATCAATTTGATTTTAAAATATGAATATATAGGAGTACCGGTATTAAAATCGACTTTATACAATTTATAAATTCGCATTTTATGATTACTTTTGTTATAGGGCTTTTAAAAACTAATTATATTTCTTGACTCCTGTATTAAATTGTGGCAAAGTTTGGATAATATTAATCAATACTATGCGATATATACTTGCAATTTGTGTGAATACCTGTCTATAATGGTCTTTAACAAACAGGTATCAGTGATACCGTATCACAATAATATAAGAAATATCATGTTAATTGAAAAACATGCTAATATAACATGCTGATAAAGTTGTGGATACATTTACAATGATGCCACAAACGCTGTAAAAACAGTGCTCTCGGTGTTCAACAGCACTGGTATAGAGTACTCGTTCATGTGCTCAGGCATACAGAGAGTACTGTAGGGCTAATACACTGTAACGATAACCACATGATAAAACACCAGAGTATTCATGTATCTCATTGTGAGTATCATTTGACCCCTTGACCCCTTGACCCCTACCACAGCACTCTCACCCGTCCGACCATTTCAAGCGATTATACCATCAGATTATCGCTTGTAATCAATCGCTGGATCTAATTGACTTGCAATACAAGACTTGATATCAAGTGTTGAATCGATTGGTGAGTATTTCAGTATTCATTGTATCCAACGATAAGATAATGAACGCTATTATTGTGTGTAATGTATTAACGCATATATGGTTTGCGTGTTATTATGGCCATCAGATCAGGTGATAATCGGTGACAATAGCGATGGCCAACTCGTCGTCGAATCTGGCCTTTTGTCTGGAGTACAACAACCACAAGACGGATATGTTGGACGCGTTTGACGACTATCTGCGGACAGAGTCGATGGTGGACGCGATGCTGTCGTGTGAGGGCCGCGTCATTAAAGCCCACAAAGTGGTGCTCAGCT